TTTTATTATTATCAATTTGTCTCATATTTTAGGATAATAAAATTTTTCTAAAGTTATTTTATAACTTGAGACAGAGAAAATATAATAATAGCTATCCACATAATGTTCCACCGATATGAAGTATGAAGTATCATCATTCTTTTGTTTTAATTTATATATTGGATGAATCAAAGTAAGTTCAGTCTCAATGAAATCAGTTTTGAGGCAATATAGCAAATGCAACATTTTTTGATGTTTTATTATAAATATTTTCCTATACATATTCTATAGGTGAATTTTCATATTAAAAAAAAAACAATATGACGATACCGTATACAATCGACATTGTACCTTGAGTCCGTGCGTACGTAAGTTAAGCAATTTACTTTATAAACAGCATTACATTTCACTCGAAACCATGGCAACATTGAAAAATATTTCTTTACCATATTTTAATATTTTATATGTTATTGACAAGTTTTTTTCCATACATTTGACGCTGACAGTTAAATAAGTATAAATTGTTCCATTCTTCTAGAAGAATTCAAAAGTTTACGTTTGAATCATTGTTAAAATATTGTGTGTGAGCTGGCTGTAATTAAACAAGGTTGGGCCCTAATAAATAATTAGATTTTTTTTTGTTACAAAAATGACGTATCAAATTAAAATGGAAAAATATCATCTAAGAACCCTTAAAGAGTTTTTATACAAGAAGGATCTTAAATATCTAAAATTTCACTGCACCCAAAGTACTTATCTAAAAATAAGATCTTATGAAAGAAAGACCAGATTACACCTAAAATTTTATGGAGTATAAATAACTACTATTTGAGTTTTGAAAATTAATCATACTAATTAACAACAACCTATTCAAAAATGAACAAGTGACTATAATTGATAACACATGTTTAATTGTACAAATGTTAATCTTACATAAACAAATATCTATTTAGGTTTTGACAATTAATCATATATAATTAATAACATCCCATTCAAAATTCACAAGTAACTACAACTAATAGCACATATTCAATTGTATAAGTGTTGGTCTTGCATAAATAAGTATTCATTCAAATTTTAACGTACAGTTAATCATAAGTATAACAACAATCCATTAAAATATTAAACTTTAGGTCTTTTCCTATAAAATCTTACTTTTCATATAGGTTCCAAGGGAGTGTAGTGAATTTTCAGGTTTTTAAGGTCTTTTTGTTGATATAAAAACTCTAAAGAGATCCACAGATGATATTTTCCCAGTTAAAGTCAAGTATTTAAGTAATATGTATATCTTATTTAAAAAAATAATTTTTCTTGCGAATTATTTTATTTCTGAGAGATATTTGGCTGAAAAAATTGCTTTATTAATTTAAGGAATTTTTTTTTTTTTGGAATACCATGCCACAAGAGATCAATATGCTTGTGGTCCTGGTTTTAATTTCACGGAGTTTGTTTGGCTGGTAAGACGAGACCTATGAAATGACTATGAATTTTAAATCAAAGGGAGGCAGCCACTGGAGATTTATTCATGGAGAAAATATCATTTAAAGATCACTGAAAATATTTAATATCAAACAAAGACTAAAAAAATTTTAAAATATTATTACAAGATGAATGGACTAATTTGAAAAATAATTTCAGATAAAAAAAGACAATTATATCTCTGCTTTTTTTAAAAAAAAAAGTTTCACCATTGCCTACGCCGACGTCGGCCACCAAACCGCTATCGATGAGCGGAAGGTTATTGGAGTTACTGCATTGTAACGCCATTAAACTAAGCTCTTTTGGATTTTTAAATTTGTTAAACAGTGAATGATTTTTTTGTTAAATATAAATAGATATTTGTTAATTAACGAATAATGACTATTGTCATGTATGACCTATACTTGTCCCTTCTCACAGTCAAACTCTTTCAGATTTTTAAATTTATCAATAAGCTAATAATTTTTTGTTAAATATAAATGGGTACTTGTTAATTTACAAATAATTACTTGTTAATTATTTAAAAATTTAAAAATTTAGAAGACAACATATATTAAATTTTGCCATATATAACTAAATGGCCACTAGCAACAGGGGGGCTCCAGTCTGCAGCAGTTCGATGGCCCACTACGATGTAGGGTTTTTTTAAAAGCAAGGGTATTATTATCTTTTTTCATCTAAAATTATTTTTAAATTAGTCTCTTGATTTTACAATAATATTTTATAATATTTTAATTCTTATTTAATATTAAATGTCTTCAGTGGTCCTTAACATTACTATTCTTCCAAGCATTGCCCCAAATTAAATAACAAATAGATGAATTTTAACAAAAAAATAATAAAATGTTCATATTCTAATCTTAATCCACAAAGGGGAGAAAAACAACTTAATCCCTCTTATCTCTCCCTTACGAAACTTATATGATGAAGAACTTAAAGTTGCTAACTAATAATGATTTGTATAAATACAATATTAATGGTTATCTTTTTTTATTTTTAATGGACATAAACAATTCATCATGAATTAATATGTGCTTAAAAAATTCCTACACCTTGAAAGATGGAACATTAAAACTTCTAATATTAAAATTAAATTATCATTGTCCATGAGATTAGCAAGCTTTGAAAACGTGTTCGATGGAAACTGATCAATTGCACATAAGCAAATTATCACTGTGATATAGCTGGCCGTGAGAGGAAGATTCTTTTTTTGGACACAGTGGAAAGAAAAAGGGAAAATAGCAATTAAGGACTTTTATATAAAATTTAAATTAATTAAGGATTAGTTGTTATCAAAACTTGAATAAAAAACAAGTCTGAATAGATTGTTATTAATTTAAAATGAATTGTTATTAAAACTCAAATGGATATTTATTAATAAAAGCTTAATCTAAATCAACAAGTACCTATACAGGTTTTGATAATAAGTAATCTTTGATTAATATAAACTTTGGTCAATGTTCCTTGATTGTTATTTTACCAAAGAAAAATACAAGAAGAATAAAGCCAAACTACGTAATATCGTTATCCTGCAGCATGTCCATGGCTAGATCACCAGGAACCATGTGTAAACTTAAAGGTAGATCAAGAGCTCTCTTTGCGAAGAAATCTGCAGCTGAGTTCTCAGTTCTATCCACATGATGAGCCAGCAAGACCTGCCAATCACGTTGAAGCATTTGATTGAGCTGGCCGTGAGAGGATGACTCTTGTTGTATTCACTCTATATGAAGTGAATAGTTTCTATTTACCGAGTTGCAGTGAACATTAATTGAAATGAGTAATTTTCTCTGCGGCAAAGATTGATTTGGCCCGGAGCATGGGAATAAAGAAATTGGAAGTGGAAACTGATGCAGAAAATTTGTTTAAACAAATTATGCAGATAGAGAAGAAGGATGGTAGCAGATTGGTAGGGAAGATACATGGTTGGTTAAAAGGAGATTGGCCTGGGAAGTGAAGGTAAGAGTGGTTTGTTGGCAAAGTAACCAATATGCTGACACATTTGCTTTCGGTGGATGATTTAATGATTTGGCATGTGGCTCTCCTCTGTTAGTAAGGGATTTTATTTTTGTTGATATGGGGTGAGCTGTAGATTGTTATTACTTTGTAGTTTGGTTTTTTTGGGCTTTGGCCTCCTTTCTTACCAAAAAAAAAAATGTAAGAATTGTATTTTTGTAGATTGAGCCTTTCAAGAATTTTCAAGAGTTTAAAAACATTGTTTAGATGGTAAACTACGTGCTTCGTGAATCTCCATTTTCATGTGTTGGATCCTTTTATGTGGATATCATAAATCACGATCTGTTTTATATAATCCATATTTAATATTAGTTAATTATGCTTTAATCCCAAATTAAATAATTTTACGGTATTAAACAACATCAATTAATGTGAGTAAGGGTTTTGTTTATCAGACCTTTTCTCACGGCTGCATATTACTCCCATTTCCGTCAGTCAATTGTATAAATATATATATATATATATATATGTATGTATGTATGTATGTATGTATATGTATTGATTAAAGTCCTTAATTATTGTTCCTAATATAAGGACTTTTGTCTAAAACATTAATATTTTTTATAAATATCTTTTGCTTTGATATTTTCTAATTAATGAACTTTATTAGAGGTAATTTTGAAATCTAAAAAAAATTAACTAATGTAACTGAATTTTCTTTTGTTATCTACATGCATCCTCATAATCCTTTTTAAGACACAATCAGTCACTAAATATAAGCACTTTTAATCTCTTAATAGAAATTCAAACCTTAATTCATTAAGATTTGAGAGACTAGTTTTTTTTTTTTACTAAATCTAACATTTTTTTATAATTATAAATGAATTTTTTAATCTATTTAAAGTTGTTAATATTGTTAAAAGTATGTACTCATGGATAGGCTAATTTCAACACCATGATCGTTAATATTCATGTCCTCACACCCTTTTCCCTCTCTTGCATATCCGCTCGAGTAGTTTTGAAAATAAGCGTGTGGGTATTGTATCCTTCATTCCTTTGATAATTTGATTACATTATTGCTTCCAATGCAAGATTGAAGCTGACGAGACGTCTCCTTAATTTCTGTCATTTTTTTTCTTTTTAATTTCCCTTTTCAAACAAGTAGCCGTCAATCACGATTATATTCCTTCCAACACATTTCTACGTTTGCCAACTTGCATTATTTGGGATATGTATATTGTTAGCCAACTTAAAGAAAAAACAAAAACCCTTCAAATTTGGTGAGAGATCACAAAGTCAACTCTATCCTTTGACGTACACAGAGATCTGGAATGCTTATGTGTCTAGTTTCTTTACATGTTTGAATTCTACATAATATATTTACGTACGTACTGAAGCTATCAAGTCTTGCACAAGAGTCGAAAGCACTTGTTCTTGGTCAGGTCTCTCGACTTCTATATAACTCTTTCCCGCCAGTTCATAATAACCCATCTAGCTAGTCTCATTTGCGATTGCATGAAATAAAGTTTAGATCTTGTAGAGACCAATTTGAATCATCAAACTCTGATTCTGTAATTGTTCCCTCAGAAATGGACAACTTGAAGGCACCTTTCAAGGGCGTAGTTAATGATGTTCGAGGAAGAGCAAAGTGTTACAAACAAGACTGGATTTCCGGTCTCTGTTCAGGAATCGGGTATTTTAATTTAATTTCGTAATTACTTCATATTTTCAAAGGGTGTGTATATATATATGTATATGATGCCTTAGTTCAAATTTCTTAATTATTTCTTTCTTTTTTTTTTGTCCCATGACAGGATATTGGCTCCCACTACTTATATTTTCTTCGCTTCCGCTCTTCCTGTTATAGCATTCGGAGAGCAGCTCGATATAGACACAGGTTCTCCCTATGCAAAGCACACACACGCGTTCGAACTTACCCATTTTATTCAAGAATGTCTGTTATATATGTGTGTCACACTGCCAATATTACAGCAGTATGGAAAAAAAAAATTATTGCCTCCGTTAAACGGGGGAGCCATGGCCGGAAACTGGAGAAGAGAATAAATGGAAAAAAATAGTGGGAAGATGACACATTTTAACTAGAAATTTCAAGTCTGAGGCCGTATTCCCTCAATCAAGTGCATTCCCATTTTTGGGACCAAGACATATGAGCTTTCAGGGTTTTAAGTAAAACTAGCTAAATTTTGATACCAGATGTTAGGAATGACAAACGACAATCTAAATATGGGAGAAAGGACAAATGAGTAAAAAGTATTACAAGGGTATATGCCACATTTAATTAATTCAAAACATCAAAGTTCAAGTTTATAATTAGGTCATTTATTTCTCCTTTATTATATATCAGTTTTTTACTAAATTAGAGGGGCAAATACTGATGGCTTGAGATTATAAGTAGAATTGAACCCGTGATCTCCCACTTATAGGGGAGTTTACATGTTAGGGCTACAAGGCTATAGGCTTATTAAACCCAACTTCATCTATATTTTCACATTGACTTAAGTTCACTCACACTAAAATAATCATTTTCTCATACACATATGTACAAGATTTGATATATCGGTCCTCTTCATATATATATATATATATATATATGTATGTTTGAACTTTCATTTGTGCATCATATTTTGTGCATGTCTTAGATTGGGTATTTAATTTTTTTAATATCTGGTGGTTTTGTTTGAAGATGGAAGCTTGAGCCCAGTAGAAACACTGGCTTCAAGTGCTATATGTGGAATCATACACTCAGTCATTGGAGGCCAACCCCTAATAATATTAGGAGTTGCAGAGCCCACTATCGTCATGTACATTTACATGTACAATTTTGCCAGAGATAGAGAGGGTTTGGGACCAGAGCTTTTCTTAGCTTGGGCTGGATGGTAAGAATGAATTCCTTTTACATACATACATACATATATATATATGTAGTAAATATTTATCATTAACATATGCAGTTCACCTTACAAATCTTATTAGCACGTTTTAAGTTCATGCGAGATTATTTATGAATTCTTTTCAGGACTTGCGTTTGGACGGCTCTGATGTTGTTTCTTCTAGCAATATTCAATGTTGGTGCACTTGTACATAGATTCACCAGGATTGCTAGCGAGCTTTTTGCCATGTTGATAGCAATCTTGTTCATTCAAGAGGCAATCAAGGTTAATAATATTTGATGCGCGCGCGCGCGAGTATTTAGCATCAGATACAAAATCAAGGTTGAAGAGCTTGAACTTGATTTTTCTAAAAATGCAGGGAATGGTGAGTGAGTTTAAGGTTCCTAAACGCGGGTTCCAAGGACCAGAATTAGAGAAAAGCAAATTTCAGTGGCTTTATGCAAATGGATTATTGGGAATCATATTCTCCTTTGGCCTTCTCTTTTCTTCTCTCAAGATCAGGAAAGCTAGATCATGGTTATACGGCACTGGTAATTAATTTGTCATCATCAAGTTAATTAATTGTTCACTATGAATCACATACAGATATTCTTAAACCTCGGGATGAGCCAATGAAACTAACATAGTAGTTTTCATAATTTGTGTATAGGGAAGTTAAGAAGTTTCTTGGCAGACTATGGGGTTCCATTAATGGTGGTTTTGTGGACAGCCTTATCTTTTTCAGCACCAAGTAAACTTCCCTCTGGAGTCCCTAGAAGGCTCATTGCTCCTCTTGCTTGGGAATCTACTTCTTTACACCATTGGAAAGTCGTCAAAGTAATCTATATATTGCACTTAAAATAATGATATAGTACAAATGATATTTTAAATACTAACTTGTTATTTGGTGCAGGATATGGTAAAGGTCCCACCTGCTTTCATTTTTGCTGCTATTATTCCTGCAATGATGATAGCAGGTCTTTACTTCTTCGATCACAGTGTTGCTTCTCAGTTAGCAGAGCAAAAGGAATTCAATCTGAAGAAACCTTCTGCTCATCATTATGACATGTTGTTGCTAGGATTCATGGTATGTGTATCACTATTTATGTTCTCTCTTGCATGGGAAAGTTATTATCATTTTGATTGTGTGAAACTATATCTTATCATCACTAATCCCTTGAAGAAATTTCCAGACTTTGCTTTGTGGGTTGAATGGTTTGCCACCTTGCAGTGCACTTCTTCCTCAATCCCCCATGCACACCAAAAGCCTTGCTGTTCTCAAGAAACAGGTGTGTCAATGAGATTACAATTTTTCTTTCAATGCTAATATACCTGTACCATATTACAGTACTTGGCCACAAGTTGGTGGCCGTACAACCTTTGTTTGATTGGGTAAATTTGGAATTAACAGTTGATTCGAAGGAAAATGGTGGAAAGTGCCAAAGAAAGCATAAAGAGCAAAGCAAGCAACTCTGAGATCTATGGAAATATGCAAGCAGCGTTCATAGAAATTGATAGAAGTCCAATTGTGAGTCATCAATTAGATTTTATTGATCCCATTTTTAATATAAAGTAACCTCCTTCCTCATGCTGACCACAAGATCCTGGTTTATAATTTGCAGACTAATTCAGTGGTGACAGAACTTAAGGACCTAAAAGAAGCAATCCTAAATGGGGAAGAAAAATTGGATAGTACATTTAACCCTGAGATCCATGTTGATGAACATCTGCCGATAAGAGTGAAAGAGCAAAGAGTGAGCAATTTCTTACAGGCAATACTTGTGGGAGCATCAGTGTTTGCTCTACCTCTCTTAAGGAAGATACCAACTTCAGTTCTGTGGGGTTACTTTGCTTACATGGCCATTGATAGTCTTCAGGGAAATCAATTCTGGGAAAGGATACTATATATCCTCATATCCCCTAATAGAAAATACAAGTAAGCCCAGTTTTTATAGAAAACCACAATCAATTCTCATTGGTAAAATTATATTGGACTAATTTTGTTGTTTGAAATTAATGATAGGGTGGTGGAGGGGGACCATGCTTCGCTTGTAGAGACAGTACCATTCAGAGCCATACTATTGTTCACGCTGTTCCAGTTTGTATATCTGTTGGTTTGCTTCGGAGTGACTTGGATTCCCAATGCAGGAATGTTGTTTCCTTTGCCCTTTTTCTTGCTCATCATAATAAGACAGTATATGTTACCCAAGTTATTCAAACCTCAGTATTTAAAAGAACTCGATGCTGCTGAATATGAACAAATTGTTGGCACTTCAAGGCTCTCCTTCCGCCACTCTTCCCGCCTCAATCTCCACCAGGTAACTCATGTAATTCATATGAATATGATCAGAAATCTCCGACATAAGTTAATTTGTAATTTCCTTTTGTGGGTTGTTACATATTAAAAGGATATGAAATCAACGAGCATGGAAGCAATGGAAATGGATGATGATGATGATGATGAGATATTAGACGAGGCTCTCACAGGTAGAGGAGAGTTAAAGGTCAAGGCTATTAGTTTCAGAGAGGACAGACATGCCCATGCACAGTTATTTCACAGAGATCAGTTCAACTTAAATATCAAAGCTATTAGCTTCAGAGACGAAAGACATGCCCGGGCACAGGTATTACAACAATTTATATATATATATATATATATATATATTATTTACTTAATTTTCTCATGAGAAGACTTACTTACCTGTAATTGTGTCTTTCATCTTTCTACATGCGAAGCGATTGCGATAAGCGTTTCCTGATGAAGTTATAATTGAAACGGATTCGCAGATTACAAAGGTCTCTGTTAGAAAAATTAAAGGCTATATATGAACAAGGCATTATTAATGGCGACTTTTCTATTTCCTGAAGATTAATACCTAGGAATTATTAGAGGACAGTGATGGAATTAAGGAGGTCAAGTTCTGTATTAAATATTAATGTAAATATATATAACCAATTTTTATAATATGTGAAAAGACCGCTATCTTTATATAATTTTGTGTTATATATGTACACGCGCGCGCGCGCGCGAATGATTGGATCATGTGTGCGTGTATTGATGTGTGCGTGTGTGTAGCTCTGAAATTTCGGGGTCCGACGTTGAAATAAGTTTGATGATCAATATATTTCGGCTAAAATAAAAGAATAAGCTGTAAAGAATTCATAGATGATCGATCAGACGATGAATATATTTCTGCTGAACGAAGTGGAAAAAATAATTAATAATGGAGTAAAAATATTAAGGACATCATTTTTGGGTATATCAGCTTAAACATTAACTGACGAAGATTAAAGACCTTTCAAGGATCAAAGGAAGTAAAAGGAGAAATTGAAGCTTGGCCATTGAGCCAATAAGTGAATATCAATATTGTCCAGTAAATCTCCTTAATTATTAGGGCTATTTGCTTTTTATGAGGATACATTAGTTAATGTGATTTTTAATTATTCCGTATTTCATCCTAAATAAAAAATTTTGATTGTTTTTCATGGTAAATATTAATGTCTGCTGGTTCTTCAGCAGTAACTTTATTTAAAAAATAATGAATTAAGGGAATTAGGTTTTTTCCGACCAGATTTATCAATATAACTTTGAAATCTTTCAAAAATAAATTTTGCCAAAAATTCAAGAAAAAAGCTTTGTAAAGAATATATAATAAAAAAATCAAGCTTTCATGATTCAGAAAAATGGTTGATAATAAAAATTAAAAGAAATTACTAATTTGTTCATATTTTTATCTACTATATATTACATATAGAGAAAAAAAGAGATAAATAGGAGTAAATAATGTTTATAAAGATATTTATTATTAAATGAAAAGGCATTTCGGGCGGGTGCAGGAAAGCAAAGGAATGCACAATGGAAAGATTGAAAGCAAAAGCTAAAATTGAAAAATTGAGGGGCCAATATAATAATTTTTTCCACAAAGCTATACCTCATTAACATTCGGGAACAACCCCGGCCCCTTGGATTGAGCCGATAAGCGACCATCAATGTTGTCCCGTTGTCTCCTTAATTAGGGCTATTTTGCTTTTGATGAGGGTACGTTAGTTAATGTGATTTTTAATTATTCAGTATTTCATCCTAAATACATTTTTTTGTGTTTGTTTCATGATAAGTATTAATCTCTACAGGTTCCATTAAATTTTAAATTTTTAAAAAAAAAAAACTTATGAATTAAAGGAATTAGGTGGCAAATTGACCATTATGCTACCAAAAAAAAATTATTTTTCAAAATACTATACTTTTAAAAATATTCACTAACGTGCTAAAAAATATTTCTTCTATTAAAAAATATAATGTATTTTTTGAAAAGTTGTATATTTAATAATGTAAAGCATTTTTAATTTTTTGAGGTATAATTATTACTTTTTTTAAAAGTATCTCTATTGATAATGAATTTTTATTTATTGTAGGTTATTTAATAGAAATAAATATAAAAAAATAGAGTTAGTTTAAAACTTAAAAATAGATAATTATTTTATTGAGGAATGAGATTTGATTGAAAATACTTTATATTTTTTTTTTGCTGAATCCCAATTTTTTTTGGTCAGATACATGCAGAATTTGGTTTTTATCTTACTGAGATTAGTACAATTAAAAAGGAAGATATCAGAATGTTGCCATCTCCTTTTTTTTTCTCTCCTCACACATAATCCTCCATTTTATTTTTCTCTCCCGTTCCCCTGCTCCTATTTCTTTGTGTCAGAAAAGTAAAAACGGTACGGAACATTCAAGCAAAAACAAAAACAAAAACAAAAGAAAATAGCTCGGAGCATATTCTTGACAATGGAAATTGGTTTTCTGACATATCAATTTGATCATATATGCTCTCTCAGTCTTTCCAGTTCAGAGTAATAAAAAGGAGAAATTGCCTTCACTTTATTTTTTATAAAATGTTGCCATTGGGATGTGACACCATGCTGCAATAGTCTGCAAGATGTAATATTGCATGTGCATGAGAATATATAGTGTCAAGTCTTAAATTCAGAAGATTCTTGTGGTGTCTTGTTCGTCAGCATGTGTACTTTTTTCTCTCCTCTTGTTTCGTGCATTCACAATTAGGAAGCTTTAAATATGAATATAGACTGCACAACTAATACATAAGTTCTCTTTCCCCTTTTCATCATCTTCCAATGTCTGCATCCTTTTTTTTCCTCTGCTTCAAATTTTTGTGAGTGTTGTGTCTATCTCTCTTTTAACTCTAAAAGATTTTTCTCATTTTGACATCATATTTAAGAAAATAAGCACATTTATTATATAATTTAATATTTTGATTATGATAAAAAATATTTTTATTTTTTATGTATGTTTAAATTTTTTTATGCAAGTGAATGTTTATCTTATCGTAATGTTGCATTTTTGTCATTCAACTCGTTAAAATCATGGACTTTATATTTTTAGGTAATATTATCTGTTCAACTTGATTATCAAAACGCTATTGTTTCTCACTTGTCTAAACTCGCGAGTCAGTCCTTTGAACTCACTTGAGTTGCACTTACGCGATGCTTCAATGCGAGTTGATCAATTGGTTTGATAACAAGATTTTCAAATTTCAACGACGAGCAAGAAAGGCTTGACCCAACCCTTCTCATAAAGGTCCTGACCACCGCCCCAGCAAATGCTTTTTATTTTAACACTGCTACTGCTAAATTATATACTATATAAGAAACTATATTTGTGATACTTACAATATAACTAAATGTCAGTAATATAAAATTTATCAGAAAAAACCAAATATATCACAAGTTGTATGCAATAAATAAATATAAAGTTTTAATATTTTGTGAAATTAAAAAAGATAATTTTTTATAAAAATGTTATGCATATTATTATCCATGAATCATACTATTTGTCAAATTGTTTTTTAATAATTCCAAAAAAATATCATCAATACAATTTATATAAATAAAAATAGTTATAATTATTGGTATGAAAAGGTCGTCATTATTTATTTACTAATAATGCTTTTGTTTACATACTGTCATTATTTGCTGGTCAAACAAACATAAAGCCATTATTTATATATTTTTTAAATATGAATATTTTAGTTCAGATATACAAAGATGGTTTTCTAATTTATTATGAGATATAAATGATACGTTTTAAAATTGTTCCATGATACTTTAGTCTATAATTATTTTTAAGGTAAAAATAATTAATAATTATCTTTACCAACAAAAAAGACACATAATTTTATGTAAGGTTAGTAAATCTAGCAAAAAAAAATCACCAACCATTTTATATACACATAATCTTTCGGTAAAAAAAAAATACAGATAGTTTTAATAAGTTGTTATGTTTTTACAAGTGACTTCTTTTAAAAAATTTGAATAGATTAATTCAAATATGCTAAGAAACTTATCTTAATATTTTAAAAAATTATTTTTTAAAAATTTTTTTTACTATCTAATGATGATTTAGCCTTTAATCATTATTTTTGATAAAAAAAATCTAAACATAATTTTAGAAGAAAATGAAAAAAATTACTGTTAATGTAAACAAAAAAAAAACAAGGTTTGATATATATTTATTTATATAAAAAAAAAGGAGAAAAGAAAAGGGATCCAGTCAATGACGGTGGCAACATCACTTCCTCGCATGAGTGAGATTCAGAGTTCGAACCCTGCTTTGACACGCGTTCGCGTGAGTTGCGTTTCATTTCAATTGATCATTTCAGAAAAATAAAAAAATGAAAAGAAGAAAAGAGATTATGGGAAGTTGGGTCGGAATGGAGCACGGGAGGGGAAAAGTGGGGAAAGCGTCAGAACTCAGAAGGCGCATTTTGCAGAAGAAAAGTGGCTACAGTGATCCACCCACTGGCTCTCTGCCATGCCCACAACTTGTCACCCAACTCTCCATTAACCCCTCACTTCCTTTTTTTTTTTTTTGGTTTTTAAATTATTTTACTCCATTTAAAATTTTGGCATAGCTATGCTCTGATCATCACTCAAAATTTATGTGATGAGTTGGATCTTGCAGATCATCGTCAGGGCTCACATTAATGATGAGATTGGAACTCATATCCTTATGTTATATGAGTACCGTCCTTGCCATTTGCCAACTGGATCAACCTTCATTGACTTGTATAATTATGTTAAAAAAAAGCATATCACACATTATTTTCTACTTATTAAAATTAAATAAGTATTTTTTGTTATACTTCAACGGTGAAAATTGAATTTTTTTTTCTAGGTATTATACACACACATATTATAAGTAAATGGTAATTAAACATGTCCAAAAATACTCCTTTTGGAGTTTGGACTCAAATACAAGACATTGGTAACTAATTCATAATTCTTAAAAAATGTTAGTTAAAATTTTAATTTTTTAAAAAATTACATTTTTTATTTTATTATGATTAAATATTTTAAATGAGTACTTTAATAATGATAATTAAAATTTTAATGCATTTTTTTTAAAATGAGTAATAAATAAAATGAGAGTATAATTAAAAAATAATTATAAATATTACATAATATTCTATATTTTAAACCAAACAATATTTTTATAAAATATTTTATATTATAATTCAGAGTACATCAAGATTGAGAATTTAACCTACTTCTTTCAAACACAAAACCCTTACTATTCGTTGGTGGCAGATATTTTCTTTTACTTTTTGCAATTACCTTGATTTTTATAATTAAATATATATATATATATATATATATATATATATATATTCGTTGGGATGGGATGGGATGTGCTCAGAAGTCAGAACCATTGGCATCATCCAACTTAAAGATGTTTGAAAATACGGAGATTTTTTATATTTAAAAACAAAACGACAACGCCGTATTGGCATCATCCAGCTAAAAAATGCTGGAGACAATGCAGTACAACAGACAATGTACCTTAGTAAGTTAAACATTTTATTTTATGAACAAATAAGTTAACGATCATATATTTGACCGAAA